ATATGATCACCACCCCAAGGAGACTGTATGTTCTTTCAGAACAAGGAGCAACAGACCAAGAGGAGGAGCTGGAGGAGGAGACCGAAACATCCCGCACTGGAACCAGAAAGACAAGCTCCTTCCCCCTGCTGGACCCAGAGCTCTGTATTGACAAAGCTTGCTACTGCATTTGCTGCAAAGGAGAGCCGCTTACAGCCCCTTTATCACGGAGCAGGTGACGAAGCATGGATTTGAGGCTGAGAGCAACAGACCAAGAGCCCCCCCCAACCTTGACTCCCCCCCAGTCTGGCTCGTGCAGCTCTACTGGCCAGAGCTGTGCATGCACGGGAGGGGCCAATCTTTCCCTTCCTCCATGTCCTCTTTTCTTAAGGAAGGTTTCCTGGAAAGAACTAGTGACCCCCTCCTCCCCATTCTTAGTGGCTTCAACCTCGTCTGCCGCCAGCCCCTGTCCATTCTTCCTTTGGGCTGTCTGGTCCCCCAGCCAGTCAGCTCAGCTCTGCCCTGCCCCCGCCTCCCTTCACCCCTGCTCCAATGCATTCTCCACGCCCCTGGGAGACTCGGCGGTGGTCCCTACACCTCACCGTGCTGACGCTCAGGCTGCATCTGCAGGGTGCAGCGTGTTCCTGGGGGTGCCTGGAGGCTGGTGGGTGGGTGGGCTGCTGGGTAGCCTGGTGGAGACCCCAGACACTGTGCCTCGTATGCTCTCCCCCACCTTCCCCTCTCTCCCCTGTGCTTGTCTTTGTCTCCTTCACTTTCTGAGATGTTCAGATAGACGGGAATGAAGCAGCACTCACTCCTGCTGCTCCCCTCGCCATGCTCCCTGCACCTACTCTCAGCCCCTCTCCCCCAGCATGCCATCTAGACTCCTCTGCCCGCCGGTGTTAGATGGGAAACAGACCACACTGTTGGTTGAATGCGGGAAATTTAATATAAAGATGTATTAACTACAACAGGGGAGGTGTTACACAGATGTAAAGAACCCTACAGAACTCCCTAAGGCTAATGGAGAGCATCTGTGGGAGGACAAGCTTGGAAGGGGAACCCGCTCCTAGGCTGGGTTTCTAACAGTGTTGGAGAGGGTGTGACCACAGCCTGCTGGGTGGGGGGATGCTCTCTGCTTGTCCACTGCTGCTGGGCAATGGTGGAGGCGGGCCGAGATTGGCAGGAGAGGTCACAGAGGGCAGTGGGGTGTCAGAAGCCTGCTCCCTGACAGGGCACTTCAAGGACTGGGGCGCTCAGGTTCTACATCAGGAGCGTTGTGACCAGGTGGTCCCCGTGTGCAACCATAGGGCGGGGGCTGGGTGCCAAGCTTTGGGTGTAGGGCTGGAGCCAGCCCCTGGGAGCTGGAGGAGGAGACCGAAACATCCCGCACTGGAACCAGAAAGACAAGCTCCTTCCCCCTGCTGGACCCAGAGCTCTGTATTGACAAAGCTTGCTACTGCATTTGCTGCAAAGGAGAGCCGCTTACAGCCCCTTTATCACGGAGCAGGTGATGAAGCATGGATTTGAGGCTGAGAGCAACAGACCAAGAGCCCCCCCAACCTTGACTCCCCCCCAGTCTGGCTCGTGCAGCTCTACAAACCCTATTCCCCAGCACACACCCTCTGACTTTTCAGTTTGGCTGCTAGGTGTCTTTCTCCAGGTGCTGATCTTTCTGGCCTAAGGAGAATGTTCTTCCTTCTCTCTTCTTGATCAAACTCTACCCATTCTGTTAGGCCTGGCTCAGGGCCCAGCCAGGCAGCCATGAGCTGCCTCCTAGCCCTTCTCCCATTGTGCTTCAGCCAGCTCTGCCACCTCTGATTCTTGTCATATGATCACCACCCCAAGGAGACTGTATGTTCTTTCAGAACAAGGACAGTATCTTTCTGGCCCCATTTTCTGTGGTGCCTGGAATAATGCCTTGTCCTCACAGACCCCCGATTAATATGGTGATGTGATTGAAGGAGGACCTGGACATTCCAGCGCTGGGGAGCCAGTTGGGGAATGTTTGGAAGTCTCTGGAAAAGAAATTCAGCGGCTGCTCCTCTCTCTACTCACACCCAAGACCCAGTCTGAGTGCCTCCAAGAGGTGGAGAGCCTCCTTAATGTGCAACAACACTACTTCTTTCCTTTCTGGGACTAGGAAGGGGAGTCATTGTCACCCACCAGTTCACAGCATGTAGCCGCCTGCCACAATTCTGTGTACCAGGCGAAAGAGATGTGATAATGTACGGTGTGAGGAAAATGATTTTGCCTACTTCGACCTGAGTCTGGTGGGGAAAGGCTGTCTTACTCTCTTCATCCCTTTTAAGAAAACGGAGTTGCTTTCATAATGGAGACTTATTTCTTAAGATGAAACACTGGAGATCATAAAGAAGTGGAGAAAGAGAATGACCCGAGTGCTTTATATGGGACAGTTTGTCAGATCGATGCTCTTTTGTCTTATTACTTCGTGCTTTCCCAAATGGCCCATGAGTGAACTGCTGTGATTTCAGCCTCAGTAGCCAGGGCTGGGATATATTAAAAGCTTTGGCCTGTGCAATGAGTCACTTGTTGTTTACCAAGCAAGGCTCCTCTACCCTCTCTGCTGGCATTCCCAAACAGGCCTTCAGAAGGTCTCACTTTCCCTTTACATCTGGGTGCAGCCTTCCCTGACTACCTCCTCCCCCCATTGGACTGAGCTGATTTTCTTCTTTTGTGTTTTCTTAGCATTTAAAAAAAAATGTGTAGGTGTGTATAAATATCTCATCACTCTGTATCATAATTGTTAGTTAATTCCTTGTCGCTCTGGAATGTGCCATCTTTTAACTGTGTATCTGCAGGATGTAAACCATTGGTTTACCTGAAGTAAAGGCTCAATAAATATTATGTGCACGAATGGGCGGCAGAATGATGACAAAGGAATGCTTCCTTCGGTGGCAAATATCAATAACCCAGTTTGACCTCTTTTGCTGGGCATAAAGAAAATGTATTGGCTCATGCAGTGAGGAAGATCAAAGGGTACAACTTCTGGCTTCAGGTACGTGTGAACTCAGGGATTCAAATTCTATCATCAGGACTCTATCTTTCTTTCAGCATATCTTGGTTTCTGGGACATCCAGATTTACTTTGTTCTCATAGAAGGTCTCCATACGGCTAAATAAATGAACAAATACGTAAAAAAAAAATAAAGCCACCGAAGGTTCTAGCCCAGGGTTTCTCAATGTGGAGGCACCGACAATTTGGAATTGGTCATTCTTTGTTGGGTGGGACTGTCCCACGCACTGCAGGGACATCAAATGCCAGGAGTGGTTCCATACACCCTGACTACGAAATACGTCCCCCTCACCCCTCAACTTTCCAATGCCCCTTAGAGAGTAGGGTCTCTCACTGAGATTCCAAAGAAATGGCCTTTCAGTCATCCAGTCTCCATATCAATTCTTGAAAAGGATTCTGATTGGCTCTGCTTAGGTTGTGTTTCTTCCTCTGGACCAATCATAGTGTTTGAGGTCTTTGGGAGTTTGGCATAATCTGATGGGCCAACGTATTAGTTATCTATTGCCGCCCAGCAAATTACTCCAAAGCTTAGCAGCTTAACACCTTTATCATCTCAAATGATTCCTGTGGGACAGGGATCTGGGTGCAGCTGGGTTGGGCAGTTCTGGCTCAGGGTCTGTCGCGAGGTGGCAGGCAAGCTGTTGTCTCCCCAAGGCTCACCTGGGGCTGGAGGATCCAATTCCGAGCTCACCCATGTGGTGGCTTGTAGGCCTCAGTTTCTCTCTGGCTCTGGAGTAGCTCACCGCAGGGCCTCTCCGTAGGCTGCCTGAATGGCCTTTCCACATGGCAGCTAGCTTCCCACGGAGTGACTGATCTAGGAAAGCAAGAGGAGAGGAAAGGAGGGGAGGGAAGTGGAGGGGAAAGTGAGGAAGCATGGGGGAGGCGGGGAGAGGAGGGGAGAGCCCAGAATGGCATTGCAGTCTTTTATAACCTAATCTTGGGAGGGACAGACATCATTTCTGCTGTATTCTGTTGGTCACACCGACCAACTCTGGTACCGTGTTGGGGGGCGGGGAGGGGGGGCACTACACGAAGGTGTGAGCACAAGAGGCAAGATCTCTGCAGGCCGTCTGGAGACAGCATTACAGGAATGCCCGCTCTGGGAAGTCACAGGGGTTGGGGAAACGGCATTTCCCCAGAGTCGCGTAGCGTAAACAAAAAGTAGGTAGATGTCTGCTACAAATAAATATTGAAATTAACTTCATCACCAACTCACTCAAGGCAGCACAGGGGGGGAAGGCCTGGTGAAAATAGTGCTACGAATTATTTCTCTCCTTCTGTAGATCATCCCTTGTCCCTTAAGAATGTTTTTTTTCGGGCTGCAAACCGATCTTTCCCGGTCAGCATTTATTTGTGCAAAGGCGTTCACAAGCAATTCAACTGCTGATTTATAAATAGGTTTTGTAGATCTTGGGAGTAGACCAATATTTGAGTGTGTGTCTCTTATATAAATTGCTCTGGCAGCTGCTTACTTTTTCTCCAAAGTTCTCCTTTCTCTGGTGCACTTTAATTCTCTTGATTTATAGCAGAGAGAAAGCATCAGCTATGCGTGGGTATGTTTCCCCCTAGAAGGGATTAGGGGGCAGGACTGGAGCGGCCCCAGGAACAGGATACAGCTGAACCCACTACAACACAAGGGGTGACCATTCAAAAGCAAGCATTTTGATTCCGGGCATTAGGGCAGGTTTTCTGTAGTTGTGCTCCCCCGAGACCACGTGGAATAAGTAAATGCTGTTTTCTCATTAGGGATTAATGACGTACACAGGTTGGGTGATTTTTGAGACTTCAGTCTTTGGTTAAAGCACCACCAGCAACTGAGCCATCCTGACACCCCTCTGCTCTCAGTAATGAGAAACCACTCTCTGCCTTCCCACCGCCCCGCCAGGAAGGAGGCCGCCAGGTATCATATAACCTACACCTGGACAGTGGTTGGAAGCTTTAGTTTCTCCCTGAACCAAGCTTTTGGAAAGTCATAAACGCAATGTAGAAAATGAGGGACTCAGGAGATGGATTGAAAGGAAGCCTTGCTGAGGTTTGCTTATATCAATGGAGGCACTGACTCTCTCAACTAATGAAAACAAAGATGCCAAGGGTGCGGTCCCGTGTTACTTCCGCTTGATTTACACACACCCTGCATGTCAGGTTGGGTACCTGTTCTTGGGGCAGCTCAATAGATCACCAGGAGGAGACCAGGATTCATCAGGTCTCTGGACGGAGTATCTGGAAACAGGCAAGCCACACAGCCTGGCCAAAGGGTGCAGATTTATGCACTGGCCTTTTCAACTGGTCTTCGGAAGTGATTCGACATTTGAAAAGGACACTCCTCCATATTTCTTTTGTTCCTGACAATTCCTCCTCCTTTAACTGTCCAGGTAGCTCAACAGAGAAAAGAGTAGAGAAGATGAAGAAAAACAGCATCATTAGGAGATTATTATCTGTTTCCCTGCACCTTCCAGCAGAGACGAGAAGGGAGACTCCTATGTACTAAATTGGTTGTCTTATGCTGGGTCTCACTAGGCGTGATGGTTTCCTTTTACATTTGTAATACCCAGAATATAGTATCTCCCCCCTTATCCACTTAGGATACGCTCCAGGACCCCTTGTGGATTCTTGAAACCGTGGAAAGAGACATCACAGATAAAGGGTGACTCTTGTATTTAGGCAAAAGGTTATCTATGGCTAGCTGGAGTCATCGAGTGGGGGGGGGGTCACTCCCAGGGGTACAGAGAGGAGTGCCGGTTAACCTTGGTGTCATTGCCAGAGGAATGAAGGGAGTATGGTTTGCCCATATCTGTGTCCCTGGTTCTCTCCTTACACTTAGGCTCTGAACCACCTTCCTCACCCTGTCTCTTCCAGTCCTGAAGGGCCAGATGGCAGGGCCAGGACAGAAAGGAACATGAGGCAGATAGTTAAAGGAAGGTTGGGTCTCTAGCTCTGGGCTTAGACAGTCCTGAGTTCTAATTCCAGATGTGTGAGCTTGGACAAGTTACTTAACCTCTCTGGGCTCTGTTTTCTTATGCAAACAATGGAGATAATCATGGTACCTCTTTAACCTTTGGGGCTGTATTAAGGACTAAGTCCCATGATGCAGTGCAGGGTGTAACTCGGGAAGGATCTATGCTTCCTGTTCTAGCACCCCGTGTGGTCCCCCTTACAGTGGGGGCTCTGGAGTGCAGGGGGCAGAGCTGGAGGGACCTTATTACTGCTTACAGAGCCCCCTTACCCCCTTCGCTCTTAGGGGTCAAAATCCAGCCTGTTGCTGTTGTGGTTCAATCAGCTTTCATTGCTTTTCTTGCCGGGAGGAGGAGTTTGGAATGTTCCACTACTTCATCCTAGGGAGTGGGGGGACCTCTAGCACATCCCCTGGAATCACCTGCTACCTGCGGTATTACTGGAAGGAGCAGAGCTCAGAGAAACTGCCACATGATCTTTCTGAGAAGGTTTGCCTTTGTAAAGCTTTATAAGGCCGGAGGTAGACAATGTATCCTAACTTTTGACCAGGTTTGGGTTTTTTTTGGTTTGTTTGTTTGTTTGTTTGTTTTTAAGGAAAAGAGGTAGTGATTGTGAAATGCAACCTGTAGGGAGTAAACAAAATACTTCGATGGTTAGTAAGACCTTCATTCATTAATTTCCTACTAGGGATCCCCCGCTCCTTTTCTTTAAAATGGAAAAATTATTTTGTTTATTTTTTCCTCACTGAGAGACCTTAATAGACCTTAATATTTGGTCCTCTGCTGTTTTTCTTCTCCCTAAAGCTCTGCTTCAATCCCATCAAAGCACTGCAGCCCCGGCTTTAAAACCTAGCTGGGAATAAAATAGGGCCAGAACCAAGCACCTGCCATCTCCCTGCCTGGGACTGCACACAGTGGGGCAGGCTGTGCCCTAGACCCCAAAACACTGGCGTTGAGCATTCAGGCACAGAGCCTGACGCCAAGGGGCCCCACACGTGGGCCCGGGGTCCGGCCCTGGCCCACCACCCGGGACCCCCAGCGTCCGAAGTGCTGGGGGCGCACCTGCGGCCCTGGCTGACCAGGGGCGGGGGGCCCCAGAGAACCGCGAGCTTATGTCCTGCGGGATTGGGGCCCGCATGAAACCAAGGCCACCAGAAACGCATTCCCGACAGCTCTTGGGAGTGAGACCCCCTGAAAATCGAATATCGACGAGCAGCTGAGCGGCGTGGTGGGGACTCGCTCTTCCCTGGACGCCGAAGGTCAAGTGAGTCACGTGAAACAGGTGTTTGGGGGAGCTCTTCCTTTGCAACCATGTTTGAGACTGAACTGGGGGTGGGGATCGGAGGCTGGGGAAGTGCGGGAACTAGCCCCGCAAAGAAGCCGGCCACCAGCGCCTGTCTGCGGCTGCTTGGGCCTAGGGAGCCCCGGGGCGGCCTGCACGAGCTCCGGGGGGCACGCATCCAGCGGCGCAGGGACCGGAGGCCTAGGGCGGCGGGCGAGGCTACGGTCATCCTGAGTCTGCGGAGGCCGAGGCCACTGGGGCCCAGCGCCCCGGACCCCGCGGAGGTGCGCACTCCAGCCGCAGGCCCCCGGGCCCGCCTTCCCACGAGCGTCCCGAACCACGCTGATGAAGCCACCCCACCCACCCTTTTGGAGGCTTGCGGTTGCGGCCAGGACCGAAGCCTCTATCTGGCTTGGGTCTTCCAGCTTCTGGAACATTTTCCTTCACTTCTTTCAGACAGTGTCTAAATGACACCACCAAGTGCAACTGGAGCAGTCGGGTCTGTGGCCCAGTCGGGGGTTAGCAGATGAAGGACACCCAAGGTGGCTAGCGCGCCCACCCCTGGCGCTTACCTCACTCAGGCGTCAGTGAGCTCACCCCTGAGGACTGGCACATTAGCGACCTTGAACTAATAACCTGCCCGGCAGAGGCAGCAGTGACAGCCCAGCTCGAACTGTTAGGTCACTCCCCAACCCCTGCGGGTGTAGACGGCCTCTGAAGCTCTACCACGGCATCTGAATCCATCCAGGTAGTTACCGAGCCTGGCCTGGCCTGGCCGCCTGCCATAATCTGGTCCCTGCTGCCTTCCCGCTTCCTTCCCCACCCCAGCCACCCGCCCACCCCACCTTCGTGTAGCCTGCGTTCTAAGAAAACCCTGTCCACCTTCCTGAACATTCTCTGCATCTTCCCACTTCTGTGATCTAACTGAAGGCCTTCGTTCACTGGAATGCCCTTCCCCCATCTCTATCTGTTGAGATCCCATGATTCTCCAGCCACAATGCCAATGCTATTTCCTCGAGAAAGCCTTCTGTGATTTCCAGAGCCAGAAGTGAATCTGGGCATCATTGCAGCTTTCTGGGCTCTCGTCTCCTCCTCCATCTCAGACCTCGGTTAATTCCATCTGCCCTCATCCGTGGTAGGGGTGTCTTTAGCTTTCTGGACTCATTTTTGTTCCACAAACATCTGCTGTAGGTCTTCGAGTTCCCGCTGCTGTGTTAGAGGCCGGCAGCATGAGGAGGAATAAGAGACTGAAAATGTCTTTGAGGATGTAGAAAAGTCCAGTGGACAGACAGGCAGGTACACACCCCATTACAATGAAATGTGCTAAGACACAGAAACATGGTTCTGGGAGTGCACCAGGATGGACAAGGTCTACTCAAGGCTACTCAGGTCCTGCTGTATCCGAGGAATAGTTACTAGCCTCTGAGTGGCCAGAAAAGGAGCCCGTGTTGGAAAAAGAAACTGGAGAGCCAGGTTAGTGATGGCTAATTTTATGTGAGACCTTGGCTAGGCCATGGTACCCAGATATCTGACCAAACACTATTCTACATATTTTTGTGAAGCTATGTTTTAGATGAGATGCACATTTATTTTTTTTATTTTTTTATTTTTTTATTTTTTAAAGATTTTATTTATTTACTTGAGAGAGAGAGAGAGAGAGAGAGAGAGAGAGAGAGCAGGGTCAGAGGGAGAAGCAGACTCCCCGCTGAGCAGGGAGTCCGATGTGGGACTCGATCCCGGGACTCCAGGATCATGACCTGAGCCGAAGGCAGTCGCTTAACCAACTGAGCCACCCAGGCGCCCGAGATGCACATTTAAATCAGTGGACTTTGAGTAAAGCAAATTACTCTTTAGAATGTGGGTGGGCCTCATCTAATCAGTTGAAGGTCTTAATGGAAATAAGACAGGCTTTCCCCAAGGAAGAGGAAATTCTACCAGCAAACTGCATTTGGCCTTGAGCTGCAACATCACTTCTTTGGGTCTCAACCTGCTGGCCACTCTGCAGATTTAGAACTTGTCAGCCTCTGTATCCACATGAGCCAATAACTCAAAATCTCTCTCTCCCTCTCTCCATGCATGCCCATGCTCTCTCTCCCGCTCCCTCTCCAAGCACGCGTGGGCGCGCACGTGCACACACACACACACACACACACACACACACACACACACACACTTCTTGATTCTGTTTCTCTGGAGAGCCCTGACACAACATTGATCCCCACTGTGAAGGAAGCTGAGGAACAAGCTGTTTTGCAAACAGTAGAAAGCCATCGGAAGTCATTAAGCAGGGGAGTCGTGGGTCCGAGCTGTATTAATAAAGGGTCCTTTATTTATTTTTTTAGGATTTATTTATTTATTTTGAGAGAGAGAGAGTACAAGTGAGAGGGGCAGAGGGAGCGGGAGGAGAAAATCTCCAGCAGACTCTGAGCTGAGCATAGAGCCCGACTCGTGGCTCGACCTCACGACCCTGAAATCACGACCTAAGCCAAACCAAGAGTCGGATGCTTGACTGTGCCACCCAGGCGCCCCAATAAAGAGTCCTTTATTAAAGAAGCAGGCTCTAGTCTGGGCCCAACTGCAGCTGTTAGCTTTGGGTAGCCACCAACCTCAGGGTTCCCTGCCCCTCCCTGGCCACAGGGGTGGGCGGGGGGGTCCTGTCATGTCAGCCGTTGGTAAGGAGTTCTGTTCCATTACCTGCAATGTCGAGGAGGCTGTTACTTTCTTTCCACTCCCACAGACCCAGTTGGGTATTCATCATCAGGAATGGCTGAGACAGTGTCCTGCCTCATCTCTTTTGCTCTCCCGTCACCCCTTCACCCCATTCAGCAGAAGGTTCTGTTCTGCCCAGCCTGCCTTGGGGCACTAGCCACTGCCTTCTGGAAGCTAAGTGAAGGAAATGAGCATGTGGCTCAGAAGGGTATCCCAGCAGAGATGCTGGTCCCGGGTGGTGCTTGTAATCCTAGACAGGTCCACTAGGGCTGTGGAATCTTGTTTGCTTACTGACAGGCGTTGAGAGTGGCCCTCCACTGGCGGAGGGGGTAGGAGCCAAGCTATGGCTTATGGGCTACAGACTTCAGGGCGGCCCTGCCTAGGCTGAGTGAGGGACTGGCACCGAGGGGGAGTAGGTAGGGCCAAGGAGTAGCCCAGCTCCATGGAGTGCATCCAGTTGCAAGAGCAGGGGGTGCTCAGACTTGAGGTAGCTGGAGCTTGCAGGAGCGCAGAAGTTCAGGGTCACTGGTTCCCCATCGGGGGGCAGTCACTTAATTCCATGCCACGCTGGCTTGTGCGGCCGAGGATGCTGACTTCTTCCTGTTGTTGTAAGTCGGGGCTCCGGTTCGGGAGGGGACGGGTCAGAGCTATGGCTGTGGGTGGCTGGAGAAGGCCAAGGCACAGAAAATGAGGCAGGGCTGACAGCCCTGGTATCATGTAGACTTTCCTAAATTAGCTGTGGGGAGAGGAAATAAGAAGAGCCAGAAAGTCAACAGTCAGACTTTCCCCGACCATCTGTGATGGGAAGCAGAAGGCTGCCAAGAAAACTCTGTGCTAGAGCGAATTGGTAGAACTTGAAAGCAGAAGGAACACGCGCCCCACGAAATCGAGAGGCTTTTCTTTTCTTCTTCTGTTTTCCTTCCTTCCTTCCGTCTTCCTTCTTCCCCCTCCCATCCCCTTCCTTTCCCCCCTTTCTTGCTTTCTTTTTTAAACACATCGCTCTGCGGAGCCTCCAAGTAATGGTACTGCTAAGCCAATCCAGATCTGAAGATTGGGTACGATCAGAAAGCAAGTATGCAAACCGGTGACCCAGGATTCAGCTGAGTCACGTTTCATAGTTTAATGCAAAGCGGGACTAGCTCTGAGTGTAGAAGTTCGATTTTTAAAAATCCGGCTGCCAATTGGATTCCTAATTTGTAATACCATTTTTCAGGGATATTATTTTTTGGAGACACTAATCACAGTTGGGTCACTGCATGCCTGCCTTGATGTCTTACTTCTTTTTATTACTCTCAATCAGGAATAGTTTCGCCGTGGGGCCGCTTCCACCGCATCCCACACAACCCACCACCTGGCGTGGTGAGCGCTCTATGTGTTGAAGGGGTTAAGGAGTCTTTGGATGAGTGCTTGAAGCTTTCCATCTTATCCAGATCCTTCGAAGGCTGCAGAGAGGGTTTGCCTTTCTCAGCGCCGGAGTACTTCCATCTTCCCCCAAGCAGATGCGGGGACCGGGCTCCGCAGAGTTGTATGACCTGAACGAAGTTGACAGCCAGGGGTTGGAGAGCCAGCAGCTAGCTAGGCTTGTGTGAGTCAGAAACCTGTTCTCTTTCTGCCACATCATCTTCTTCACAGACGGAGGGGCTAGTGGATCTTACGAGCAAGATAGTAAGGAACCTACCTAAGGGCCCACCAGGGGCTAGGGGTGCGGGTGGGCAGGATGGAGGTGGGGAATATTGACCCTGCTTGGCTTTTAGTGCATTTCTCATGCCTATAGCCTTCTGCTTCTCTGTACCCTGAGCCATGCCCTGGCGGCATTATGTGTGGGCACGCATCACCAGAGCACGGAGCTTACCTTAAGCAAGGGTGGCCCACATGTGCCCTTTCTGTCCCCAGGCCCATGATCCTGTCCCATTGCAGCCTGACAGCCCAGCCTCATTCCCCTCCCCACACCAGCTCTGGGAGTCTGCTTTCATCTTGCTCTTCCTTTCCTGCACGCTCAACGGTGGCCTGCCCAAGGATGCACAAGCTGGTCGCTGTGGACTGGAAGGGCTCACAAGAGGGGTCCCCACTCCCTGGTCCGGGGCTTTTCCTTCACCAGCTTGATGCTCAGAGGGGCATCCTCAAAGGGCTTCTCCCACATTGGCAGTACTCCTTCGTGTTTTGGCTCCAGTTGGTCTGATCACTTTTCAACATTCTATCGACTGTACATACGGCGTTAAGTAGAATTATTGCCCAGGGAGCAGGAGAGAGCTTGCTCTCTCACCGTTGATGCATCAAGTCGGTGACTGCTATCTGTTTTGGCCATATAGACTCTTGAGACTTTAAAACTGAACAAAGACCATTGTTTTCTGTGACACGAAGACACAAACCGGTAATGTATTTCTACTCGTGGTGAAATGGGATAAATCCTGGGCTGAGAGTCAGAAAACCTAGATTCAAGTTCCAACTGCTTGACCTTGGATGAGTCATGTAACTTTGTTATCCTCAGTTTCTTCCCATGCAGATTGGAGATGCCTAGTGTAGACTCCTGGCAGGCAGCCGTGAGAATCCAAATGAGATCATTATGTGAGAGAACTCTTCACTTGATGAAAGCTTAGATGGATGTCAGGCATGGAAGGTTAAAAAATATCCCACATGGCTTCTCCTCAGGATCTGCAGTCTGGCAGCTCGGTCCCTCTCATGCTGGTGGTGAGAACTTGCATGTTGTACACTACACCAGGCCCCCAAATGCAACCCGGAGATTTGTACACTCTCCCAACACCCTGCCTCCATGAAAATCACCAACAAAAGATAAAGGCTGATAGAATTATGTTTCATTTCAAATGGTATAAAGGAAGGAAAAAAATAGTTGTCTACCTTAACACATTATTTTGTGCATGTTATTCCTTCCTACCTTCCTTCCATCCATCCATCCATCCATCCATCCATCCATGCCTTTCCTTCCTTCTATCCATCCATGCATCCATCTATCCATGCTCTTCCTTCTTTCCATGCATGCATGCATGCATTCTTCCATCCATCCATCTGTCCATCCATCCATCCATCCATCCACGTTTCACTGACCACCTGTTAGGCCCAGTTAAACATACAAGGATATACAA